ATACATACATACATACATACATACATACACACATACATACATACATACATACATACATACATACATACATACATACATACATACATACATACATACATACATACATACATACATACATACATACATACATACATACATACATACATACATACACACACACACACACACACACACACATACATTCATACATACATTCAATTGTTAATTGTTTCAATTCAATTGTTCCAATACATACATACATTTAGAGATACAAACATACAATCAAGCATCCATACATATATAAATACACACATATATATCATACATACGTACATACACTTATCAATACTTTTGAAAAGTAAAACTTCGAAAAAGCTGCAAAAAAAATAGTCGAATTTGCAAAAAATTTACGAAAAATTCACGAAAAATTCGAACTATCGAATTTTCGATTCCCCCTTAAGTTCCTTTACAAATAGCTAAACGGGTTTAAGTGGTATTTAGGTGTGTATACGGCATGTATAAACTATCTTTCTCTCTTCGTTTTATTCTTTTTCTTTTCCTCTCCTTTCACTCTTTCTCTCTCCTTCTCTCTCTTTCTCTCTCTGTTTTTTTTTCTTTTTCTATTCTCTGATATGTTTTTCTTTAGATTTTTAAATCTCTTTACTTTTTTGTATTTTCCTCTTCCGCCCCTCTCTTTCTCTCTCTCTCTCTTTCCCTCTTTCTCCCTCTCTTTCTCTCCGTTTTTCTTTATTTGGTGGTAAATTTAATAACCTGTTCACCAATGGACTACTGAACTAATTAGGCATCTCGTCCGTCATACAGGTTTATGTATTGTAGGTATGTATGTATATATGTATGTATGTGTGTGTATGTGTGTCCTCTCTTTTCTCTTCCCTCTTTCACTTCTCTCTCTCTCCCCCTCTCTCTCTCTCCCATCTTCATGTATTTGTATAATGCGATAAACGCCAGTTTTATGTGTTTATTTTCTAAATACATGCATATACCGAAAGAAATATATATGAAAATGTGTGTGTGTGTGTTTGTGTGTGTATTAGTGCAGGTGTGTGTATATGTGTTTGTCTGTGTTTATACATGTAGGTATGTATGTCTGTTTTTTGCTTATTGGGATGAATATAAGTGAATGTTTTCATCTCATTAGAAGGTCTGTGCGTGAGTATCTTTGTGCACGTGAATAAGTTTATGAAGGTGTGTGTGTGTGCGTGTGTGTGTGTTAGTGTGTGTGTGTGTGTGTGTCAGTGTGTCCGTGTATTGTTTATAAAGCATTACTTAATGGGCGAAGTCTATTTTCCCTTAAAGCGGATTACTTAATGATGTTGTGTTTTGGCGTGTCGGTTTTCATTGTTATTATTATTATTTTTGTTATAATTATACATAATAATAATAATTATTATTATTGTCATAATTATCATTATCATTATTATGGTTATGCAATTGTTAGAAGTAATAATACTAACAATAATAACATTACTAATGCATTAACGTTATTGTTAGCTGTTTCAAAGTCCCTATCGTTGTCATCGTCATCATCAACAATACTATATAGTACTACTACTACTTCTACTACTACCACCACTACTACTACTACTACTACTACTAATACTACTACTACTACTACTATTACTACTTTTACTACTAGTACTACTACTACCACCACCACCACCACTACTACTACTACTACTGCTACTACTACTATTACTACTACTATTACTACTACTACTACTACTAATATAGTCACAGTAGTAGTAGTAACAGCAGTAGTAGCAGCAGTAGTAGTAGTAATAGTAGTAGTAGTAGCAGCAGTAGTAGTAGTAGCAGCAGTAGTAGTAATTTAGCGGGGTATCATCTGTTGCATCGATGAACAGCGATTGATAAAAAATTTTAATAAAAATTGTTCTTTCTCCTCTTTGAAAAGATGGAAAGTCGTCAATGTTTTTTTTCCTGTTCGTTCATGTTTGTTCGTTCGTTCATTCGTTCGTCTGTTTGTTTATTTGTATGTTTTTTGTGTTTGCTATTGTTTTGGTTCGTTCATTCGTTAGTTCGTTTGTTTGTTTGTTGGTTTGTTGTTAGTTAGTTTGGTTGGTTGGTTGGTTGGATGGTTGGATGGTAGGCTGTTTGGTTGGTTAGATGGTTGGTTGGTTGGCTGGCTGGGCAGCTGGTTGGCTGATTGTTTGTTTGTTCATCTTTAATTTTTTGTTTGCTAAACAAAAATGAAAAAAATTTTGAAAAAACCCCAAAAAATAATAATAATAAAGATGACAGCCTGTTAAACATAGTGTCGACATATTTTATATTTTAATTAAAAAATTTTTGTAGAGAAATAATAAGGATAAAAATGAATAATAATAACATTAATAATAATAATAATAATTATTATTATTATTAAAATAACTGTAATAATAATAATAATATTTTTCAGTCATAAACAGACTTGGAATGTCAACATACTTTAAAAATCCCGTCTTGGTAAATTGTCAGTTTATCAGTTTTAAACTCATTATTATTATCATTATTATAATTATTATTATTATTATTATCATTATTAGAAAAAATGAAAAAATTATAAATCAGTATTCAGTAGCCGTGCCTTCATTTTCGGTGACGTCATTCTAATTTAAGCAGTCCCGATGACGTCAGACTAAAAAAAAGATGGAATCTAATTTTTGAAAATTTTCGCTATGTTTTTTTTTTGAAAAAAATATCGTTGTTATTGTTATAATTATACAATGCGTATTCATGTTTGTACGTGAAAATACAAAAAATATATACAATCTTACGACACGCACACACACACACACACACGCACATACACACACGCAAAAATATATAATGATACAGATAATTGTGACAGATTTTTTTATATTTTTATTCTTTTATTCGTCTTTTTTGTTATCATCTGTCTATCAAGAGAGCTAAGCATGAAAATAGATAGATGCTACGAAGATGGATGCATGTATGTGTGCATGTTTTGTATGTATGTTTGTGTGTGTTGTGTGTGTGTGTATGTGTGTGTATCCAAACTATTAGAATTAACAACATGTAGACATACTACTACTACATACATACATACATACATACATGTGTAAGTCTCTATATGCACCTAGATGTATACAATTTCTCTTTTTCACTCACTTTCTCTCTATCTTTATTCCTCTTTTTTCCTTATTTTTCTCTCTTTCTCTCTTTCGTTAGTTTTTTTATTCGTTTTTGTACTCTTCTCTCTTTCTCTCTCTCTCTTTCTCTCTAGATATTTGTATAGAGCCATTGTTAGTAATTTGGCTATCAATGGACCTAT